ATTTTATAAATTAAATAGATATTTTTATTTTGGTCATGTAAATTAAATAGATATGAAATCCATGTAACTAATTTTAATTTAATTAGATTAAATCGAAATTATGGTATTTTCATACTTATAGCTTACCAAAGAAGTTTAATTTTAAAATTATAAAGATTTCTTGAATATGATTTTTAGAATTATTTAACAAGATGATAAATATTTATTAAATTTTGTGAATCATGAAAAATAATAATTAATTTTTAATCATTATATTTCACCTTTCAAAGTTTCAATCTCTCATCTAACAAATAAGTTACAGATTCTATTATTCCTATGTCCAAACTCTATTTTGTTGTATGACTAAATAATATTCCCATTAGAGCTGTCAAAGCGAGTTGATTCGTCCCGTTAACCCCGTTTTGTGATAGGCAAAATATATTTTGACATATAGTTAGTCGGTCCACACGACCCGCGGGTAGCATATATGAAACACAAACCTGTCCCGCGAATGTATGCTGATTTGCGGGGTTGTCCGTGAATTTTGTTTAAATAATTTTAAAGTAGCAAAAATTTAAAATACTACTAAAATAAATAAATAAAACAAATTTAGAGAAAATAATTTTATATATCATTATATTTATAAATATTATAATTTCATTTATTAAAAGTTTTTTAAATTACCAAATGTTGAATAAATTATATTTTATCAATAAATACTAACATGCAGGCTGATCCGCCAACCCTCGAACGAAAACCGATTAAAACCTATGATCCGCTGCGAATCAATCCATATGGCCCGTTTATTTACGGGTTTAATATATTTTCCCAAATCTGCCCCATAGTGAGATGATTTGGGCTCGACCCATGGTTTTTGACCTATTTTGACTGTTCTAATTCCTATGAATCGTCTAATTTTTTAGAATTCTAAAACATAAAATTCCATTTTGTAATCATAATTAATATGATTGGTTTAATTATAAACAATTTAATATTTTCTCTACAATTCGTTATTATGAATATTTATAAGTACACTACACGATTCGCTCTACTTAAAACACGCACAATATTAAAATCAACGTATGTAAACCAATATTCTCCCGCGGTGGACCGCAGGTCCGATCCTAGTTTTGAGTAAAAACCCGAACCAAACCGAACGTGATAAAAATTTAGTTAGTTACGTTTATCAATTTAAATATCCAAACCGAACCGAATTGAAAGGTAACCGAACCGAACCAAACCGAAATTCCTAAAATATCCGAATGGTTATTATATTAACATATCCAAACTAACCGAAACCGAACGCAACCGAACCAAAACCGAATGGTTAACTGAATGCCCAGGCCTACATTCCACTAAACACTAGTGAACATTGATTTTCCCATATTTAATTCGAGGTTACCATTATCAAGATTTTTTTTTTTTTTCATTCTTGTTTCGCTTAGATTGATATATTTTAACATTGAAAAAGAGAAACAAAACTTTTGCTAAAATTAATAAGATTATAAATTAATAAATAGGTGACTTCAGTCAAATTAAACGTTGAGAACGAAGTTAAATAAATCAGCCTTTGGAATAATTTGTAATCTCTTGTACGTTTTCCTAGGGTTGGGCATTCGGGTACGGGGTCGGATTCGGATAAAACCGGATCGGATTCGGATCCTTCGGGTAGAAAAGTTTAGGATCCAATAGGATAAATCTAAAATATCGGTTCAGTTTCGGTTCGGATCCAATCGGTTCAGATCGATTCAGATTTAGAATTTCAGAACCGCTAAATACCCAAAAAAATTGGGTACCCGTCGGGTTCGGATAAATTATACCCGATTATACCCAAATACCCAAAATTGTACTCTAATACCCGAAAGTTTACCCAAATAACCAAAATTTTTACACGAATATCTGATTTTTACCCGAAATTTTATCCTAATATCCGAATTTTTACCCAAAAATTTACTCGAATAACCGAAATTTTGTCCAAACATCCGAAAAACTTACAAATATCGCGTGTATAAATATATTTAGTTTTAAGTATTTAAATATAATGTATTTATTTTTTGATAATTACTCTCGGATATTTGGATATAAATATATTTAACTCGAATATTAAATATATATATATATAAAGTTTTTATATGTAATTTCGGGTAATCGGGTATCCGTTCGGGTAATCGGGTACCCGTTCGGATATCGGGTTCGGATTGGGTTTTACCCTATACCCACGGGTACGACAATACAAGATCCAATAGGATAAATAGCTAATATCCGTACCTGCCTCGAACCGGTTTTTTCGAGTCAGTTTTGGTTCGGGTTTTCGGATCTGGGTTTTTTTGTCCAGGCCTACGTTTTCCATTGGAAACCAGACGACTATATACATTGTATTTTATTATTTTAAAGCTCTCACTAAAATTGATATTATAAGTTACTGAATTGTAAGTTAAGTCAGAGATAATAATGATAGAAGCTGATTATGAAGTTTTATGTCGTGGTCGAATAAAAAACACTTTCTTGTAATCATCCATTAACTACACTTTTAAGAAAAAGAGAAGATTTTTTTTTTTTTTGAGCAAATTAATCCACGAGAAGATGAGATTCATATCCGTTGACAAAAAATCCAATTTAGGAAACAGAGGATAAAAGGGTAATTTCACAAATTTCAGATAGAAACAGTTCCGTCTCCGGCGACGATGAAACTCGTCGCCGTTTTGACCACTTTTACGATCTTCTACGGCGAAACACAGTCCCATCTCCTCCATGGATCTCCGGTCAATTCTCTCTGCGCTGATCTCATTGATCCCGCTAATTACACCTGCACTGAACACAATGTAAATATCAATGGGTATAGTTTTTGAAAACCCGTGGATATCGGGTCGGTCCGGGTAATACCTGTTACCCAAACAGGGTACCCGAATACCCAAACATATAATTAAATATCAAAAATATTAATTATATATAATTTTAATATAATTTAATTATCTAGAATTACAGTTATAAATCTAAATATGTCAATTAACTTTAAACTTAAATATCCAAAACAACCAAACTATCTAAAAATTATTTGTTATGTTTGTCAAAATTTAGCAAAATGTATTCAAATATAACTAAATTTATTAAAATTTAACAAATTTTTAAGGTTTTTTTGGGTACCCGATATTTAACGTATAAAACCCGACATTTCACATATAAAATACACGAACCGAACGGATATCCATATTTCGGGTATTTATAGGGTCTAAAATTTTTTACACAAACCGATCCGAATCCGACGATACCCGAACCGGACCGGAACCGAATTTTTAAAAAGACCCGAATGGATCGTAAATTTATTATCCATTTAACCCGAATCCGAACGGGTTACCCATATGTCCAGGCCTAATATCTATCGATAGAGATGCTCAAATGATAGAAACTAAGTTTTAAGTCGTGGTCGAATAAAAAAATACTTTCTTGTAATCATTCATTAACTATGTTATTTTTCTTGTTGACAAAAAAAAAGTGTTATTTTTCTTTCAAGTATAGAGTGTAAATGGTAACATCGAAAAAATATTCAGCTGAATTCAGCCAGATTCAGCAATTCCGCAGTTACCATTTGCATAAAACTAAATTTAGCTACATTCAACAGTTCTCCCAACACCAAAAAGATACATAGTATGTTTATTTCAGGTAAAAATTCGGATTATAGCGATTACACAACTCGAATTAAAATATTTTGGATATCAAAAATTACACATCAAATTTATATTTTAAAATAAGTCAGATCATACAAATACGATATATGAATAATTCAGATACATAAAATCATTATCAGAATAGACAAGAGACGAATTTATGTTCGGATAACTGTAGATAACTTTAGATAATTTAAATAACTTTTAGATAATTAAATATATTTTTTCAAAATTTCGCAAAAACAACTCATACTTATGCTAAAATAAATATTTAAAATATCAAATTTTTTAAAAATTCTTAATCATCCTAATCATATTAATGATTTTAAACTACTAGAGAACAATTAACAATCAGTTAGATAATCTATACTATATTATCATGTTTATTTTTTCAATTAAATTTTCAATAAAACTTTGACAAAGCTTTTTATTAATTAATTACATAGTTCAAAAAATTAAATTTGGAAGAACAACTTAATTTTGCTAACAATATATTTTTAATAATAATATGAATTATAGTATTTATTTATAGTATAAGAGTTAATTAGACTATTAGATGATTTTATCTATTTTATTTAGATATTTTTCTTAGTTATTATATTAATATTCATAATTATTTGACGATATTTTTCAATTAAAGTCTTAATTATTTCGACAGCACTGCTAAAAATCACAAAAAAAAATTCAGCTAGATTCAGCGGTTACCATTTGAAAATGTAAAAATTCAGCCAGATTCAGCTAAAAATCACTAAAAATTCAGCCAGATTCAGCAATTCAGCCGGATTCAGCTAGATTCCTCGGTTACCATTTAGACCCATAGTTATGAATGATTACAAGAAAGTGTTTTTATTCGACCACGAGTTAAAGCTTCATGATCACCTTCTATCATTATTATTTCTTACTTAAATCACAATTCATTAATTTATGAATTAATTACGGATTTTGCCATTTTTTATAATGGTATTTATGGATTTTGCCATTTTTTGAATAGTTTGTGGATTTTGCTATTTTTCAGGTTCCAAAAATATGATTTAATATGCGTTTCACTCGTTATGTTTGGGTTTAGTCGGTTCCATTTGTTCTTAGAGTTTAGTATTTGGTATAAAGTACGTATTTTTGCAAAAAAAAAACATAAATACGTACATTTTTAAGTGTTAAAAAATGGCAAAATCCGTAAACTATTCAAAAATGACATTTTCGTAAGTTTTCCCCAAAAAATGGCATTTTAGACAATAATCTCTTAATTTATAATATCAATTTTAGTGAGAGCTTTAAAATAATATAATATTTCTTCTATTTCAAAGGGCAAAAATAAAAAAAACAAAATAAAAATCTACGAGAAGATAAGATTCATTTCCGTTGACAATAAAAAAAATCCCATTTAGGAAAGAGCGGACAAAACAGTAATTTCTCAAATTTCAGATTGAAACAGTTCCGTCACCGGCGACGATGAAATGGTTGCTCGTCGCCGTATTGACCGCTTTTACGATCTTCTCCGCCGTAACACAGTCCCATCTCCTCCATGGATCTCCGGTCAATTCTCTCTGCGCTGATCTCATTCATCCCGCTAATTACTCCTGCACTGAACACACTGTAAATATCTCCTCATCTTCTATTACCACTCTCTCTTAGAATCAAGATTTCATTGAATCAGTCGTAGAAAAATCTCAACTTTATTTGGTTTTGTAGATTCAAACAAAGGATGGTTACATATTAGCTCTTCAACGTGTAGCTTCTCTTGGTCCAAGACTTCAATATGGTCCACCTGTTTTGCTTCAACACGGATTATTTATGGTAAATCTTGTTTAAAGGCTTCTCTTTTCTTGGTGAAATTGCTAAAAATCTTATCTTTTTTGGTGGGTTTTTGTTTTTGTTATTAGGCTGGAGATGTGTGGTTCTTGAATTCACCAAAAGAGTCACTTGGTTTCGTTCTTGCTGATCATGGGTTTGATGTTTGGGTTGGAAATGTTCGTGGTACACGTTATAGTTATGGACATGTAACTTTGTCTGAAACTGATAAGGTATGCAAGAACTTATCTTGTATTTGTTCCTCTTTATGTATAAGCTTCACCTGAAAATGTCCATTTTAGGTTTGGTACAACATTTCATGTGTATGTTTCTCTGCTTTCACTTCTTTGATGTTGAGGAATAGTTTAAGAATATGGCCATTGTTCATGAGGCTTATTGGTGATTCCTTATGCCTGATTTGATGTTAGTAAAAGCGATTAATGCTGGCAAGAACAGGAGATGTGAATAATGTAGTTGACATTATAATGCTTATATATATGCAGGAATTTTGGGACTGGAGTTGGCAAGATTTGGCCATGTATGACTTGGCAGAAATGATTCAGTATCTATATTCAATTTCAAACTCCAAAATTTTCCTTGTTGGACATTCTCAGGTTATTATTATTCTCTTGAAATCATATAAGTGTGCCCTTTTGTTGATTTTTATAAGCTAACTCTTTTTATTTTTTTGACAGGGGACTATCATGTCTTTTGCTGCTCTTACTCAGCCGCATGTTGCGGAAATGGTTGAAGCAGCTGCGTTGCTTTGTCCAATATCATATTTGGATCATGTTACAGCTCCACTTGTTGAAAGAATGGTTTTTATGCATCTCGATCAGGTATTCATGGCTCTTGAATATCATTAAAGCGATTTTAGAGAATCAAGTTAACACGTTTGCTACTCTTTACAGATGGTTGTTGCTCTTGGGCTGCATCAAATAAACTTTAGAAGGTTGTGACTTTTGTCTTGTAGTTTTTGGGTGTGTTGATATAGTGCGACGTTTCTTTACTAACCATCTGGTGGATTTATTATGTGTTTCCAGTGATATGTTAGTTAAACTTGTCGACTCATTATGCGAAGGGCATATGGATTGCACTGATTTCCTCACATCCATAACAGGTTTTTTTTTTCTCTTCCTCTCATCTCCCTGTAGTGATACATTGACATGACATTCTATTTATATATCAGTTCGATAAGTATGCTTGTGAGAAGAAGAACAGAGAAACATATAACAATGTGAAAAATAGCGGAAAGTATTTAAAATTTTGTTTCTTTGAACTGAAGAAACAAAGGTTTTAGGATTATGTAATGCGAGCTCTCACCCTTTTCACCCAAATCAAGCTTGATTGCTAAACCCCATCAGCTCTGTACATTTGTTATCGTCTCTAGATGTCAATAATTAAGGCGTAGTTTCATTATGCCTTGTGTATTTTGTTCATCAATGGAATTAAAAACTTCTCAAGCTTAAGCACTTACTACTCTAGTTAAAGAGACCAACGAGCAGAAGCCAGGCAGTACATGAGACGAGCAAGTGTCCAAAGCTTGTTTTGGCTATAATTAGCCTCCATGTCCTTTGATACTTTCTGTGCATGAATTTGCGCCTTTTTGAATCTTTCTTTTGAACTAATATCAACGAATGGCAGGGACGAATTGTTGTTTCAACGCCTCGAGGATAGAATACTATCTAGATTACGAGCCTCACCCATCATCTGTCAAGAATATTCGACATCTTTTCCAAAGTAAGATTTCTAATCCTATAATCCTTGATTTAACTTGTTCATTGCCATAGCTTTTTGTGTGTTCCTTACTCAGACTCCCTTTTGATTTCCATATTACTGTATTCAATCTTTACGATCATTTACTCCAGTGATTCGGAAGGGGACCTTTGCACAATACGACTATGGGTATCTAAAAAATCTACGGATTTATGGGATGTCGAAACCTCCAGAATTCAAACTCAGCCTCATCCCGGCATCATTACCAATGTGGATGGGTTACGGTGGAACTGATGGTTTAGCAGATGTTACAGATGTGGAACATACTCTCGCGGAACTACCTTCCAGACCAGAGTTACTATATCTTGAGGATTATGGTCACATTGACTTTGTGCTTGGCACAAGTGCTAAAGAAGATGTCTATAAGCACATGATTCAATTTTTTAGAGCAAGGAGAAAGTCTAGTAGCTGGTAAAATACTCAATACACTGCTCTGCTTTGCACATATCTATTTTCACGAAAATATAAGTACGCATCTGATTGTAAATATTTCCTTAATGGTCGAAATTTTATGTTTGAAAGAGCTACATAGTACCAATCTAGATATGAAGAGATAGAACAGTCCAGTGAGTGACTCGAGGTGAAATATATTGGTCGTTGATGAGTTTAGAGAAATTACTACACATTTCATGTGTGATCTGTCTCCTACTTGTTACCAGTCATTTATATACGTTTACATCCGATGTTTGTTCGTGTGGCTAAGTTAATATTTGCATTTGGATGAAAAAATCGATTGCATTCAAAAACATTTTGATATTTTAGATGAAAAAGAATGAGCATTTGTATGCAAATTTTGCATCCAAAAATTACTTAATTTGTTGACCATATAGAGATGATCATCAGATCAAATATCTGACGGGTCGGTCCTTTAGTAAAACATTACAGAATTCGCGAGAGATCATGAGTTTTGTACTTAAGGCTCAATGAAACCAACGGTCGATCGCAACACTGTAACATATGAATTACCTAATTCGCGGGGAAAAAAAACACTACATTTAACAGAGCACTTGCTAAAAGGAGTCATGTTTAGAAAATGTCACTGGTTCTATTAAGTAGCCTTTTGAAGTTGTACCAGAAACTGAGCATTACTATGATCTGTTACGGGTAAAAAAAAGAAAATCATACTCTCTCAATCTTCTTGTTCCTTACTTGAATGATGTATGTGCAGTGCAAAAGCCCTTAGGATTCGATTGATGTGGCTGTTTTTTATAACCTTTGGCTGAAGTACATGTTCATGAAGTATCTTGATGGGTTGAATCCGCTTAAGATCACTGCAAAAATGGAAAACAAACTTAAGATGATGTTTACGCCTCTTTACGAAGAGGAAATCTGTGAAACCAATGAATTTGATTGAGCTTACGAATAGGGGACAGGACAATCACGACCCCGATTGGGTAGAGGAAGAAAGTTGTTCGCTCCAAAAATGGAAGCACTGTATGGATTCATAACAAACAATGTTTAGCTCGAAAATTTTACAGCATCTCAGTTGTGAAACAAGGAAACAAGGGAATTTATGAGATTAACCGTCATATCCTAGGAAGTTAAGATAATGGTAGTACGAAGCCCCGACCATGAAAAGCAGATTCGATAGCAGTAAAGGGATGAATCCGTGCGTTATCAGCAATGGCGATAAGAAATAATGTACGACTGCAACAAAAGACGCAACTATAAGTCATGAATCTCTTTGCAGAGATCCCGGTTTGAGAATTGAGTAATGTGTTTGATGATGAAATTACCGTAGAGCAGCACAAACATTGGAAAGAACGAGTTGCAGTGAACATCAAATGTATAGAGCCTATAGAGAAATGCATAAAAGACAATTCATGAACATACTCACACAGATAGAGATTATAAGAAAGAGAAACTATGGTATGGATACTGAACTACAAACACGAAATTTTCTGTTTTGGAGGTTCTAACACTTTTTAGAAACGAAAAAGTTAACCAAAGAAAGAGGAGATGAAAAGATAAGATTCAGTCCATAAACTTACCATTCAACGCGTTGTTCCACCACATGACTGTTTGGAGTCTCCTCGCGAAGGTAGGAGTTTGTCAAAAACCTGGTAATCCATATCTTGGGTCAGAGAAACAGTTTAGATTTGATGTAAGAAACGACTCAAAATGAGGTAGAACTACAAGGAAGAAAACTATAGAAAAGGATCCAGGTTTGTGCAGAAGTGGTTTTCACAAAACTGGCAATGTTCACAAGAGGGGTTTCAGTACCAAATCTTAAGAGTGCTCGTCTTGCATGGTATAATGAACAAAACAAGAATAATAAGATCAGATAAGTGACTCCAGTAGTAAAGGGAGTAACAGTGTTTATAGCACGAATGAGAATAACAGACATCGAGCAAGTATAACATTTAAGCCGCGTAAGAGGTTTACACCAACAAATGTCTGTCTATGCAATCATAGAAACTACTTACCAACAGCATGTAGCTATAACTGCTCCAGTGATTAAGAAATGGGTGAGCAAAACTGAAACAACTACGACGACAGCATGAGAGCCACTATGGTCATACCTGAAGTAGAGACAACAGATTTAAATCAACAAAAATCAGAATGAAATCTTCTTCCAAAGCAATATCTCTCTCACTCTAAAATATACAAAATACTTACGTGACACAATAGGCTACAGTTGCAACAACAAGAAGCAGGCTACAGATCACAATAAACGCAGGGTCATCACGTGCCCATTGGTTCTTAGTTTCTGAGAGAAAGAAAGAATAAGAGTAATTATAGAAAATGCACTAAAATTTTCAAGCCATACCAAACTTGAGCTTATCCTTAACAGGCACTAGCGTTAAATTTTGAGTAAAGACGAGGAGGAGATAATGCAAAAAGCTGGACAACTAGAAAAATTTCACAAGGGGATGCTTCTCCACTTGCTAGGTATTCATTGTAAAACTGGGTGGCTCAAGGTACTTTCAGAAACGGAAAGGTAAATCATATACACGCAAAAATAAAAGCTGGTTGCAGTAGGATAAGGGTTTGCTAATGAAAGCTGAGCTTACGTTTGTGATACTTGGTGTGTTGATAGCTGATGCCGTAGCGCCCACATGCAAAAATATAAAAAGTACGAGAATAAGAACTAGTAATCAACTCACCACATAGTAACTTAACTAAAAATATACCAACTTGTTGGATTAGACTACCCTATAGATATTCTCAAAAGTACATATAAGCCGTACAAAGATTTTAAACTCTCTTCAATTTCATATTGCAAAGGTGAAGTGAAACCACCTCAAACTCTATTCGCCTAGAACCTTATACGGTTAATTGGTAATTCCATCCTAATCCGTTCTTGGTTTCCCCCCATCATCCTTTCAAATGGAACAGCTTTAATGGTTATTGTTACCATCTATTGGTTTATGTAGAAAAAACTTGTTCTCATTTAGTGGCATAGAAAAAGGAACCATCAACACAAGAAATGAAAGTATCTCAAAGACTTACACAACTTTCGGAGATGTACAAAGGTTAAGCATTTGCCAGAAAGTATATTCAACATCCATTTGCTGCCACTGCAATGAACAAAAAAAGACTGTGATCACAAAACGAGAAAGGGAAAAAAAAATCCATGGCCCCAAAGTCAAACTCGAACACGATGTAATATACATCATAGTGTATGATCACATACAAATTTTACCATTTATAATTACATCAATGCTTAGAAATTCCCAAACTAGATGATCTCTACCTCAACATCAGTATCACTCATAAGAACAAAATGTTACCCAAACCCAATCTTGTTTAATTATCAGATCATCACATTCCAACGTAATTTCCAGCAAGTGATCAACATATCCACCACTTCATCAGAAATTGCTAAAGCTAAAGTGACACTGCGGAGCCAAAATAACAAATCGATTCAGCTAAATCCGAGGTTTTCTCATCCTCTACCCGTAATTCAATCTAAGAAAATGATGAATCTATGTAATAATCGACCTAAATCTGAGATCAATCCACGATAAAGCTCGAGATGTTTATGAGAAAGAGAACCTTGACGATACGACGAAAGTACTGAAGGAACATTGGATTAGCTCGGGATGAAGAAGATGAAGAACGAGATCTGGAAGTTGTGGGCAACATCTTCTCCTCCCTTGTTCCTGATCCAGATTTTGATTCTTCTTCTTCGTTCGTATTGTTGTTCTTCGTTCTTCTTCTTCTTCAGATCGTTTTGATTCGAAAGATCTCTCTGGTTCTCTGCGTTTTCCTTTTGGTTATTCGGGTTTAGGGATTGTTCGCTTATACCGCAATCGCACTCAGACGCTTCATTTGGCAGTTGCGTTTGGTACAAATTACTTGACTGGTTTAAACGCACGGACACTAAGCCTCGGCACAAATATGGATCCATATAGAACCGAACTGAACCGAACCAAAATTGATGGATTCGGTTCAGTTCCGATTCTAGTGAAATCTTGAATCAAAGATCCATGGGTATCGGTTCGGTTCGGATAGGAACCGATATCCATTCGCGTACCCAAAAAATATAGCCCATTAACTTATATTTATATAACCCAAAGTCTCAAACCCATCTAAACCTAAACATAACTATCTACGCCCAACATCCTACCATGTATCTCTCTTACCCTCTTATATATTTCTGTGAAACTTAAAGAAGAACTCTAGTTTGTTCTCTCATTCTCAAAGAAAGAGACGCCGGAGAGAACAACTCTCTCTTTCGAACCATTGCAAATCGAAGACAAATCTTCTTTTGGTGTCTTTAAAACTTGTGTTTTGTAGTATTTTTGAAACTTTGGGTGTCTTTTGACTTATTACTTTCCAAGTTTCAACTATTTTTTGAATTCGTAATGGTATGATGACTAATATATGATATTGCATTGCATACTTGCATAATTGCATTTGAATTTTGCATTATGATTCTATTGTTTTTTTGGTTCCAAAAATACCCGAAACAATTTGGTTCCTAATCGGTTCCAAAATTTATTATCCAAACCGAACCGAATAGGAACCGAACCAGAATCGAACCGATTTTGATTTAGTTCCAATATGGTTCCTAAATCTCGGAACCAAAATACTTGGAACCAAATACCCAAACGCCCAGGCCTACCGGACACCGGTTGTGGGAGTTTGTGGAAGCGAGCGGTTGCGGTTTTAAACGTTATTTAACGTTTTGACCGACTGATTTAGTGGTTGAAACGATTTACGACTAGTTGATCAGTGGGTACGATAACAATTAAACTAAAATTTACCGAAATAAATATAATATATAATTGTGAAAAGGTATAAAAACACCAAAAATTATATTTATGCAAAAGTATAAATTTTTTAAACATGATTAATAATTAAAAACCATACATAATTAATAAATAATTCAATTATTAAACAAATGAATTTTATAGTGAAACAAAAATAATTATTAATATTGGAAAACTAAAGTTAGATAATGATTATTTTCTTAGAATTAACCTGAATAAATGTATATATATATATATATATATATAACTTAAATAAGGAAACATAGCAAATGAAAATAATCATTATCTAACTTTAGTTTTCCAATAAGAAAAAATATATATATATATATATATATATAAGACTTGATAATCTATATTTTAATTTGCTATGTTTCCTTATTTTAGTTTCTTTTATTTTTTAAATCAACCGCA